ATGAAATTATTGGCGATGAAAACTCCAGGTGGATCGATTATTCAATCAAGGTACGAAAATATTTTACTTCGTTCTCAGCGGAGCCAGCTCTGACTTATTTGCGTCATAGAGGACAAGGTTTCAACAAAGTATGCTCGGAGTATCAAGCAACTTGAAAGCTCATACGAACGAATAAGAAAAAAGGAGCGAGCGGCGATGATGATTTCGATTATCTTCATGGTATCATGACCTTTAGTGCTTCTTGCTTTTCACTTCAGGAAGTTTCCCAAGGTGACAACTTACCATCGAACATCGAACTTTTCGAAAATGCTTTTGTCAAAGATTACGGGAAGTACCAAACATTACATAATGGCGTGAAAGAATTTTGGCATAATTGTAGTGTTGTTAAAAGATTAACTATGAGCAGAAAATGACTCTCCCTCAAAGAAATGCTAGAATAAAGAAACATCGTTCGAAACAATAATAGTTTATATTAAGTAGCATAGAAACTTCATGCATCACAGACTAAGCTCGCATCTTTTTATTTTTATTTTGCTAATAAATAAGGCTTGCTCCAATTAACTTTTCGCATATGGTAACAGACTAATACTAATATTTTAATCATTTAAGATCGTGTACACTAATGCAAGGCAATTAAGAGACGAAGTTATTGGATTGACAATGGAGATCTGGATAGTTCTTGTTTTGCAACAATAACTGTGAGTACTTAACAAGATAGTCGTGTCAATTTACACTAATTTTGAAGTTTTTGTTCCAATGATTAATGACATTTCGGTTTAATGCTTTTTCCACCTTAACCTCGATCTACAGGAAATAATTAAGTGAAGGATCTATATTTCTAATATGGCTGGTAGACTCAAGCAGATAATATTGAGGTTTTCCAACTCAAAATGCTTTCATCAAATTATCATCTGCGAAATCAAGAGATCCCGGCGAAACGAACTTAACCCATGTAGCATTCCTAACAAATCTTTACCGCATTTGCCTGTACCAGCTCCTGTACCCAGTACCCACGTCATTTATCGAACATATTTTGGGATACACAGAAAAAAATGTTCTGATATGTTGTCCTTACTACTTTATGATCATCAAATATCGAAAAAGAGCTTATTTCAGGTATTATCTTAAAAAAGATGATACTATAGATGATGATGGAATCATTTGTATTTTATAACACATTTGCTGGTCAAGAGAAACAAATCATCATACAAGAAGCCCTTTTACAAACGATTTATCTCATTCATGATTCTTTGACAATAATAAACAAGAGTAATACTAGTACAAATACGTTCTCAATTTTAAGTGTATGTGAAACACGTCAGTAATTCATACACAATTAATTTCGTTCTATTATTTAGGTTATATAAAGCAATTTATGATTTGTAAATTTATTTAATTTCAATTTTACTATTTTGCAAAGTTAAAATAATGTTTCCCCTAATGTAATAATAAAAATTAAAAAATCAATACATAAATAAAAATCATAAAAAAGCATATCATTTATTTGATTTTAGCATTTTACGCAAGATGATCAATGTCAACTGACGTGAAAATCCTTGTATCCTTTGGGAAATTCAAAGGCACATCCTGGATTATTAGTTGTGGGTACAAGGCTACCTTGTAAACTTTTAGGTACGTGAAAATACATTTAATAGATAAAGCACGTGATATCCTATCAATTTACTTTATTTTTGAAATTACGTAAATTTTATGATATATTGGAACCTATCTAGTTACCAATTATATCACATGTGTATAGTTAAATTTTGAACGAGTATTGTCATTGATATTTTTTGGGGGGCCACCTTATAATAGAAAAAAAAAATATCTTTTACTGACTCAGTAATTTGCAATCTATCTGCTATTCAACCGGAACAATTTCGAATATTACTGTAATTATAATGATGTGAATGTCAACTTTTCCGATAAACGGCCCACTTATAAAAATATCGTATGCTCCGTAGTAAGTTGACCGCAGCAGCCTAAATGAAAATATTTCGATTATCATATAAGATGGAGTTTAAGGGGAAGGGTTAAATAATGCATGATCATATTCTTCATTTTAAAATAAATCAAAATTTAATGAAATGATTCTTTCAGCAATTCTTTTCGATAATACATGTTTAAACTTAAAAAAATTCTGATCACTTTTATCATTTCTAATATTTCATTTACAGAACTCCTAACCATTGAAGAAATCATTAAAGAACTTCTTTCTGGATGCGGCCAGCGCTGATATAAGTATTAAAAGATCCATTGGTGGTTATAAAGCATGGGTCACCACTCACCAATTATGGGTCGATTACGAACAACCAAGCATGGGCCATTTCGCTACTTTCAATCTTAACAATCAACATCTTTAGTAGATTTTTTTTTCTTTACATTTTACAAGAAATTTACGTTAAAAATAAGGGTATTTCCAAGAACTTCGTATTCCCGGATAATCATTTTCCCGATTTATTCGATTATAACTATATTTCTTAATTTTTTTTAATTTTGTAGTTTTTTTATATATATTGTACTACTTTATATTTTATAACCATTATGTAATACAAATTATTTATTTCCTAAACGAAATAAATCCACTTTTTAATTAAATTATTTGAATAATAACTTCATATTATAAATAAAATAATTTCAATTTAAGACTAATCATTTATTGAAATTCCATGCATTTATTCCTCAACATTAATAATTGAGGATGACATAGTCCAGTTCTTGTTACTCTTGAAAAGATATATCGCTTGTCGATATTTCTTTTGATTCATTCTAGCGATAATTTTACGTCTTTAGCATAAGTTGAGTTGATAATGCTTATCTGTCCAGAACTCGTAAAATTGTGGAAAAAAATTGGTTGTTCTCAAGTATTGTTTGTAGCCGATGAGGCTATAAGGGCTAAGATCTTTCACGATTAAAATTAATCATCATAATTAGTATAAATTTTAAAAAGTCCTTTTGCTGCTGCAAAAGTTTTCTTTTATTTTAAAAAAAAATCAAATACGCTGTGAGTTTCAATTGAAATTTTCTTTTACTTTTTTTTTCAAAATGAGAATCACTTATCATAATTATATTTATTAGTTATTATAATTTTAAAATAACAAAAAAGTTTTGAATTTTTTGATGATAACCAACAAACTTTGATTTTACGAAAAGAGAAAATTATTAAATCAAAAATGGAAAGCAGTTCTCATCTTATTATGTGAATTTTTCAGGACAATTTCATTTTCACAAAATAAAAAAATTTAGGTCAAAAATAGAAAGCGATTTCCTGAAAAATTTTTGAAATTTTCAAGAAAACTTTCGTTTTACGAAAAGAGAAAAAATTTAGATCAAAAATAGAGAAAAATTTTTCTGAATTTTCAAGACAGCTTCATTCTGGAGTAATTTTTATTTCTAATGAAAAAAAAATATAAAAAAATGTTAGCTTTACCCTTTTCAAGATATGATCATTTGTAAGTGTTGGGTTCTTGCTTTTGGCAGCTGTTTGTATGGCGATTGTGTGTAACAGCAACTAGAAATTCTTTCGGATAATTTGTTGTATAGAAGTCACTGGACATGCCTACTCCAAATCACTTGATCAACAAAATTTAGAAACAGCTAAGCGCTTTAGGTAGTCAATTGTATGTATATTTTATATATGTACGAAACTTAAACTTTTTCTTTTTGACACTTTTTAACCTTTTTTAACCACACATTTTACACGTTCTATTTATTTTAAATAAATATACAAAAACACTTTTAAAATCACAAGAAAAAATTATTTTAGAAACTATTATAATTTATAATAAATTACTATTTTACTATCCATTTATCTACTACATCAACTGCTTATGGTTTAAATGAAAAATCTTTGATAAAATTGTCTTGGTATTGATTTTTAACATTTGTTATTCGTTAAATTACTTTAAACGGTCTCCAAGTCAAGTCTGATAATTAAATATAGTAAATTAATAAAATTATGAACAAAAATAATTTTTTTAAAAAAATAATATAAACATGAAAAATTAACTAAAATACAAATGTTCTACCCAGAAATACTTAAATTTTCTGTAATGAATAAAAATTAATTTGTATTTAACGTCATAAAATGTAAAAATTTTAACAAAATTCAAGAATAACTACAAATCTGCTTGGATAATTGACTCCATTAACTTAATAAAAGTTGTTTTTCTCGTTAAAATATATCTAAAAAAATAAAGTATTTTTATTAGGTAAAAGCTTCTCTCTAAACTTTTATTGAAATTAAAAAAAAAAAAATTTTTAAAATATCGGTTTTTTGCATTTTACACAAGAACAGTCTAAATAACTACCGTTGCAATCTTAGAAATTCTTTTTCTTCTCATAAAATTATATATATCTTTGTTGCTAAAACCATATATTCGTCACTACTTTTAAAAGGATCGCAAAAAAGCTTGTTTTTAAGACGAACTTCACGCAAATGCAAAGAAAAAAAAATAATCTTAAAAAAGGAAAGATACTTTTAGAAACTAGCGGGCACATGAAAATCTATCAAATTACTTAATTTGGATCGACGTAGCATATTAATAACGAATAACAGTTAAACATAAAATGAAGTACGTAAATATGGTTACACAAATATTTTTTATAAAATGGCGTCCGAATTGTCCAATGACTGATAGAGAAGGGGAGATAATGAAAAGAGAGGGGGAGAACGAAAAGGGTTGGGGGATATACTTTTTTTTTTTATTTCATTTTATTTATTAATCAAAATGGAAATTTTATAATCGGCAGAATCTTTATTTTTAAAATTCCTATTTTGTGAATGTATAAAAAAAAAATTTTTTTTTTTTTACACGTTTTTTTTAAAAAATTAATATCACTAATAAATCATTACTATCACTAGTAAGTAGTAATTTAAATAAATATACCCGATTTTGATAAAATTGCTCTTGACTATATATACACGCTACGTTTTTACTTTCCCCGTCAAAATTTTTATTGCACCATACACTATCTCGAATAAAAACAATAGTAACAAAATGCAAAATAATGAAAATATAGATGAATGGATTAACTGGATTGAAGAAGCTATCAGTAAAAAACATATTAAATATTATGAATTTGAAGATTTTAAAAATATTCAAGAAATTGGCTATGGAGCATTTGGAAAGGTTTTTCGTGCAAATTGGAAAAATTTTGATCATTATTTAGCGTTAAAGTCTTTTTATAATCTTAATAATATTACTTTGAAAGAAATTGTTTATGAGGTAATTTTTATTATTAATAAAAAAAAATTTGATTTCCATATTTTTAAAAAATATTTTATTTTTTATGTATGTACTTCTTTATATTTTTTTTTTAAAAAAAATTATTGCCCATTCATAATTTAGCTTAAAATTCAACGAGATGTAGATTTTCATGATAATATTATTCGCTTTTACGGAATTACAAAATCTGATTCCGGTATTGGTAAGTATGTCATAAAATATTTAATAACTGTTGGTTGAAATTTACTTATTTTTTTTTACAAAAATTTATAATAATTATTTTTAATAGAAAATATAATTAATCCAACAAAAAATTATTTGTTGGTAATAGAATATGCTGACGGTGGGACACTTCGTGACTATTTGAAGAATAACTTCAATAAACTTACTTGGGATAATAAATACAGTTTGGCATACCAATTAGCTTGTTCTGTACTATGTCTACATGATGAAGGAATTATTCATCGAGACTTGGTAATTTTTTTTTTAAAAAAAATCAAATATATTTAATGAATTAAGTTAACAGTTAATTTAATATAATTGTGTTATGTAATATAATAGCATTCCTGTAATGTGCTGGTTCATCAGAATTCCATCAAGTTGGCAGACTTTGGATTATCAAAAAGGATTAAAGAAACATCTAATTCACAAACAAAAGTACTTGGTATGGTTCCATATATTGATCCAAAAGTATTAATGGATAATTTAAAATTAAATGAAAAGAGCGATGTATATAGTATTGGCGTACTATTATGGGAAATATCAAGCGGGTACCCACCATTTCACGAACAAAATTACGATCTTAGTTTAATGTATAAAATTTCACAAGGTCGAAGAGAAGAAATTATTTCTGATACTCCTAGCGGTTATTCTGATCTTTATACTGGTAAGTATGATTTAAGTATATTGAATGTATTATATTTCATTAAGTAAGTAATTGTTTAATCAAACTAATATTTTTAAATTATTAGAATGTTGGAATGATGAACCAAATAAACGACCATCTATACATGAAGTTGTTAATAGATTAAGAATATTTTCAAAATTAATGGCAAATGAAAATTTAATTCCAAATAGTACAAAAAATGGTGACATTTGGTCAAAATTGTTTAGGTTATTTTTACGAAAGATATAAATAATTTTAAAATATCTACTGATTGGTATAAAAAAGCTGCTTGAAATGGGACATTTGATAGCTATGCATTGCATATTTATATGGAGATGGTGTTTTCGAAAACCATCAAAAAGCTTTTGAATTATTTACTGAAGGAGAGTATTCAGACGGAATAGCGATATTAGGATATTGTTAAGATAACGGAATTGGAATTAATATTAATAAGAAAAAGGCAGTTGAATTGTATCAAAAAGCCGCAAATTTAGGAAATGATATAGCACAATATAATATTGCCGTGATGTATGAATAAATTAAAAATACTTAAAAAAAAAATTAGAAACAATTTATGTAAATTATTTAAAAACATTTTTAAATTATACATTTAGATATCTAGATTAATTATCTGTAACGATATAATATTATTAAGGAAATGTTCTGGTATATCGCAACAAACATATTCTATGAACCTTTTTGGTCTAAAGCAGTTATTATCTGAAATTTTAATCCCATTACCATTTCTAAATACAATGATCGTAAATATATTAAAGTGTTAATTTAAATCTAAAAATTGGCCCTTATAATCAATTGTTAGCAAAGTTTAAAAATTTATTTTTTTTTATAATGAGAGCAAATGAACGATCTAGTTTAATAAAAAGACAAATTTCAGAAGTTTACGGTTACTAAATCTTATCAGGACTTTTATTTACATAATAAATATTATTTTTACGGGAGTTTAATAAACAGTAAGTTTATAAAATTGGCATAGAAATTAATGATATTAACAAAAGGTCATAAGCCTGGCATGCTTCTAGGAAGTTATTGTCTAATAATTTTTTAAAACGACATGCAAAATGTTGATATCTCTTTAAATAAAAAAATTAACCGTTCATCTAAAAATATTTTTTATCGTGTTTTTAAATGAATATTTAGGATAATGAACACTTTTACTCATATAATTTCTTGTCCGAAGCGAAGCGGAGGACTATATTCAAATGAACGATCACGTGAATTTCTGTCCCTCACGTGACATAATCCTCCATGCTCAATTTTGATTGGTTACAACTTTTGAAAAAAAAGTGAAAAAATTTAAAAAATTTAAAGGAACTTAATAGTTAATTCGTGATCCGCCAGTGAACCATAAAATTTGACTATTAAAAGGCGGTGATAAGTTCATATATATTTTTATCAATAATTTAGAATCTGCGATTCTGGAGAAAAAATATGGGATAACTCGCCTTCTATTGGTCATAAAGACATAAAATCATTACCATTAGATGCGTCTCAATGAGACGAATCCGATAAACCAAATTTTATTTTCATACGACCACTAGATGATGAGTTATCTTTAAAATTTTAAAATACTAAATTTTTCTTTTTTTTCAAATTCAAATTTTCAGCTCTTATGAAAGTGTCTTTTGGTGCTTAAAATTTTTACCGGTCTTTTATTATTAAGATAGCCAAATGGCATATTTTTATGCCTATAATATTAGTTTTCATATAATATTTTAGTAATTTGTACCTTGCATTGGCGGAACTGTAGATTCCGTGCTATTAGTAAATATATATATAACTTTCACCGGAATTTAATAGCCAAGTTTTATGGTTCACTGGCGGATCACGAATTAAATATCTTTATAGTAAAAAAGGAAATGGAAATAAAATAACATTTAAATAGTTTTATTATATTTTTATTGAAAGTCATCCCTTTACACAAAAATTGATATAACGATATGTCGGGACATATATGAATTTTTAGGCCACACAAATTCAATTTTTCGGTTCACGTAACATTGAAATTTAAAATCGACCCGGGGACCCGGGGTTTATTGTTTATTAGTAAAAAAAGTTTATATATAAAATCGTGACATTTGATTGGTTGACTTTTAAAAGGGAGGAATTTATTTTCGCTCTAGAAGTTCTCAGCCGCGTGATAAACTTACCCGCCAATAAAATTACGTTCTGATCACATGATAAATTTTTTATATATAAACTTTTTTTTATTGAAATTTGAAAAAGTGACCCGGCCGGGTGAAGTGAACCGAAAATTCGAATTTGTGTGGCCTTAGGGAATATCGTTATATCAAAGTTACACCGATATTTATATGTCCTCCTATATAGTGGGAAAATAAAATTTTATCGGTATATCAAGTTTTTAATAGCCTATCGGTATATCGAATATCGGTTTATTAAGGTTAGACTTTATCATAAATTGAGACGGACACATTGTTTTAAAGAAATTTCCTCATTCTGATAAATGAGAAAAAAGATTGGCAATTTTTATATTTATTTTATTAATTATTTTACAATTGGTTTCCCATGCAAAAAATCTAATAATTATGATATCATTTAACCTAAAACTTTTAACATATGAAATTATTGATCGGATAACTAAATTTTATTGGTTAAAAATTTTTGAATTTAAAAATAAAAATCTGGGTCAAAAAAGGCGAATTGTGATATGAAACCCGAATTTATAACTTTGCGTTGCCTTACAGTCATTCAATAAATTGTATTTTGTGTATATTGTTTTTGGTAATCTATATATTATTTAGAAAATAAATAAAAAAAATTTTTTTTGAATTTATTAACCAATTCCTACAACCCGATTGGAAAATTTTCTAAATTTATTTTTTTACTTTACCAAATTTACTTTTAATTATTAAATTTTATTTTTTGAATTTCGGTAAACTGTTGCAAAAGGAAAATCCTTGTTGCTGCTAGATACAATAAATACAATAATTATATATTTAACAATTCAAAGGATGAAGACGATTTAAATTTCAATAATTTTGGATTCAGCGATAGTAATAAGTTCAGTTTAATGAATCCTAAAATGACGTTTTGTCGGCAAATTGAAAACACGTGATTTTTGTGTAAAAGTGACCGACAACTCGACAGGAAAATTATTATTATAGCAAATAATACATAATGCATAATTCAAACTCTTTTATAAATCTTTTATAAATAATGTTTTCAAAATTAAAAATTCGAATCAAAAATGAATATTAGAATTTAAAGGAGTATCATATAAATCTTTATATCACTTCATTGTATGAAAAAACCATGAAAACTTCGAAAGGTATAAACCAAGAAAAGTCTTGCTCAATAAATTGTTATTAACCTTTAATAAATAATGTACTAGGAAATCTTTAATACGATTAATAAGTACAATGATATTACTCTATAAAAATATTGTAATGTTAAAAAAAAATAAGAATTCCTAACTGATTAAAACCAATTGAGAGGCAAACATAACCATGATTTATATGACATTATTTTTACTTTCTATCTTTTTAATAATTCCTGCAGGAGGTCTTAGTTGTCTTGAGGATTCTTAATATTGAGTATCTTTAATAAATTTTGCTTCATCTCTGGAAATTTATCACTATCCCATTCTTTATTATCAAACATTTGCTTAATCTTTTCTCGAACCTCTCTAATATCAGCATAATAATATCTGAAGAATAAATTTGTATTAGTAAAAAAGATATAATTTTTTAAAAAAATAAATAAATAAAATAATCATACATTGTTTCAGGAAACAAACTTTTCCAACGTCTCTGAGATGGAAATAGGTAAAACATTTCTATTTCAGCCAAAAACTATAAGAAAACGAAAACTTTAGTACTTTACAAAAAAATGCAATAATTTTATACTAAATGGTAATATTTATACCTTAGCCTTCATCATCAACATTGAGGTTTCAACATCAAAATTCATTGCCTCACTAAATAATCCAATAAAAACATTCAAAATAAATATAGTAGTCGAGGATAAAAATAAAGTCATCATAATTGCAAGTGCCAAATTATTTTGATATGGCCAATTGGATAATACACTTGTATCACCTATTAATAATAGATTATTTGAAAAATGAGAAAACCGATTAATTATTGAAATTATTTATGAATAGTTATAAATCAAAAGAACTAATCATACCCATAAGCAATAAAAATGTTGCCAATCTTGCAGTAGCAATTTCTGCAAACATGTTTGTGTTCTCATCAGGTTTCTGAATAATAAATAAATTGGAATTGATATCATTTTTGTTAAATGCTTGATAAGTAGGGGCTATATTCCAAGGATTATTGGGATCATCATTAATTGTACGTTCATCCAAAGAATAAGACAATTTTGGTATCAATAAAATAAAAAATGCATTTGAAAAACTTATTATTAAAATAGTTAAAAAGATTACTAAAAATAAAAAAACCTTTTTTCCAACATTAATGATGATTGCATAATGATTACCATAAAATAAAGTAAACTTTAAAATTGAAAAAAATTTTAAAGTTAAAAATAAGAATGCAAAAGAAAGTAGCTCATTATTTCTTTCATTTGTTAAAATCCATTTAAAAGAAGTATAAACTGGAAGGAAGTACATTATTATACCCATAATATTACTAAACCATTGTTCAAAATTAGTATTTCTACCCTGATTATAAATAATATAAATGAATTTGCGGACTTCAATACTAAGATAAATAAATCCAAGTACAATTAAAATGATATAAGGGATGATCTGCCTTTTTGCAGCGGTATACAGTTTTGCTATAATATCATTTTCTTTGATATTACTCTGAGATAGAGGAAATGCAATTAGAGAAAAAGTTGAATAGAATATAATATGTCCTACCCAAATCATATAATAATAAATCATCCCATATGCATTCCATTTGTAATTAATTAATGCTTCTCCACTCCATGTCTCATAGATTTCCTTCCTATTTGTTGTTTTAACAAATAGACTAGGTTGAGGCAAAAAAAAATCCTTCCACCAAATATAATCTTGTGGATAATCAACAAACTTAATATAAGGAACCATAAAAGTAATTTTTGGTGCTGATATTGTTGCTAACAAGTATTCTAATGACCTTATAATTATTATATAAATAGATCGAATGTATGTGTATATTTCTGGTAAAATGGCATGTGGCTTGGAAAAAGAATAAAGATGTAATGTTTTTCGATGTTCTATACTATAAGAAGGAGAATCTATAATCATATTTGTATCTATTGAATATCTTTTAATATATTCTGGATAATATTCATTGAGTAATGGTATTGTAGAAGTAATAATACTTAAAAATATTTTATTATTGCCTACATCTTCTTTAAAATATTCCATACATTTTTCATAGATTGCATCAATTAGCCCCAAATCATGATTCTTAATTGCAAACGTTAATAATTCAACGCCATGTTTCAAAAAACTTTCCTTATTATCTCTTACATATGAATTCCATTCATTTAATTTGAAACTGTTATGTTTTGGTAAAGGCAATGTATCTTTGAATTCTTTTTCATAGACCCGTAAATTTTTTTTTTGATTTTCTGAAGATAAATCCATAAAATAAAAATAGTTCAAAGAAATAGATTTGTTATTTTTATTAAAATGAAAAATAAAAAGTCCCATTGTTGTTAATATAACAATATCATTATTATCAAATAATAATCTTCCAATAATCATAAAATCATGATCTTCTCTTAAGTTTTCAAGTTCAAGTAAAAACGAAAAAGCAGAAATTTCTATTTCTAATAAATCTTTTAAATTTTCAATTGTTATACTTTTTGTGCAAATTAAATTCCATTCGCCACTATCATTCTTTAAAAAAACTTGCAATTTCATTTCCTCATCATTAATTTTTATTTTCCACTTAATTGTATTTTTTTTATCTTCAGTATCAATTTCTTTATTATCTGCATCAATTTCTTTATCATACTTTACTGCTTGAAACAATTCATGTATGGCACCCATATATGGATTAAACAAATGAAGATTCAAGTGTTCATACGTTTTCTTGTCAATTTTCTTAGAATCATCACATTCATTATGAATTATTTTATCATTTTCATCAAGGTTTTCAGTAATTGGTACATTAGAATTTTCATTACTTAGTAGTAATTCATCAAAATTTTCCTCCACTTTCTCCTCAAATTTAAACTTCCAAACATGTCCGTCTAGAATTCCAAATGCATATTGTGTTGCTAAACATTCTTTAATTTGAATATTATTTGGTAATTGATTATCCTCTTTATCCTTTTTTAAACGGCTCAAGCATTTTTTCCAACAAGATTTCATGACGGAATCCCAAATTCCATTACTTGTTGTGTAATCGAATAAAGAAGAAAAAGAAGGTAATAAGGAACATAAACCAGAATCCATGAAATTATATAGTTGAATATCTAAATGAAGAAATAACAATTTAGTACAAAATCAAAGTTAAACGTATATATTTTAATTTATAAAAAAAAGATACCATTATGTACGTCCAAAGTAGCAATTGGAATTTCTAATTCAATCGAATAAACAATAATTTTATCCTCGAACTTTAGACAAATAAACTTTTCATTACTTTTAATCTTGATGTCATCTGCTTTAACCTATTAATTTATTGAGACAATTAATTATAATTTCTTTGAATAATTTTAACAATTCTAAATTTTATATTTTAATTACCTTATCATTTATAAATATGCTTCTCATGGCTTCTACTTTTGTTACTCTTTTGATGTTCAATATTTTATGAGTGGTAATGTTACATTCATAAATGGAATTATTTGATAATAGGTAAAAGTTATCTTTTAATGTACCAGATAATTCAAATTTTTTGGATATGTTGTGAAGTACTTCACACGTCCATATCCATTTCTTATCCTTAGTTTGTGTGGTTTGTGTGGAATAGATCCAAATAAACCAACCAAGTTTTTCAATTTTATCATTTTTGCAAATGTTACCGTATAAAATAAATCTATTTTTTAAGTCGAAGGTACAGTAATTAGGATAAATTTCTTCTCCATCTTCTCTCTCTTTCTCCTTATCATATAGTTCTATTTCTTGAATTTTATTACTCATATCAACTATTTCTAATAAATATAATTCCAAATAAATATTCATTAGTTATGAATACCGTAAATCAAACCATTACATAATGATAATCAAGTAATAGTAAATACTTACTTAAACGATTCCAGCATTTATAAACATAAATATAGGCAAGTTTCTTATCATCAGAAACACAAATTTGTTTGACAGTCACCTCAGGTTCTTTCGTTGCTTCATCAACAGTCATGGCAATGTCTGGTTTAAGTGGTCCTTCATCTATATCTTCAACGTTCCATCCGACAATCAAATGGTTTTCTTCACTATAAGTAACAAGGTATTTGCCATTTGGTGATATTTCCATCTTAGTAATGGGAAAGCCGTTATGTGGTTTATCAGTATGTGGTTTACCAAACATACTATTTTTATCAGTTTCATTTTCGTTTGTGGCAATTTTATTATCTTTTACAGGAATAGCCACATCGTACGTTTTGCTCATTTTGATAAAAGGTATTAAAAAAAAGTTTCCACATGAAAGAGAGCGTAAAGAGAGCGTTTACGAGTTACGAGGAAAAATTCTCTATAATTATTTTTGATATGCGCGATTTTTTTTTATTGTGAAAAGTTATTCGAGCTATGATCATAGTAAAACTGTTTACAATTTTTTTTTTTTTTTGACGATATTTATACATGATTTTAGCCACGGGACGGGAGTAGTGCTCTCCATGAGCCATTCAAGCCAAGCCAAGCTTTGCCCAAAAAAGCAACCGGCAGTTTGAACCATTCCCGTGTAGTGCTCTCCATAAGCCATTTAAGCCAAGCCAAGCCTTGTCTAAAAAAGCCCAAAGCCTTACGACATATACCTAACGTGTGACATATCACATGATATAATATCATATATCCTGGGCTAAGCTTGCATCTTATTTTATTTTTGTATTACAAATAAATAAGGCTTGCTTCAATTAACTTTTCTTATATGGGAACCGTCTAACAGACTAATAGGACTGTAGAACCTAATTGCTAGCGATTATTAATACTAATATTTTGATCGTTTAAGAGCGTACACATTAATGCAAGGTGATTCAGGGACGAAGTTATTGGATTGACAATAGAGATTTGGATTGTTCTTGTTTTGCAATGATAACTGCAAGTCCTTAACAAGATAGGTGCGTCAATTTACAATAATTTCGAATTTTATGTTCTAATGATTAATGAAATTTCGGTTTATTGCTTTTTTCCGCTTTAGACTCGATTTACAGGAAATATATTAAGTGAAGGATGGAATATCTATATTTCCAATATGGCTGGTAGACTCAAGAATACAATATTGAGGTTTCTCAACCCGAAACATTTTCATCAAATTATCTGCGAAATCAAAAAATTACAACCATTCTCAGTGAGAGAAACTTTTGAAACTTTCCTTACTACTTTATGATCAAAAAGAGCTTATTTCGAGTACTATCTTAAAAGAGATGATACTATAGATGATGATGAAATCTTGTATTTTATAACACTCTTTCTGGCCAAGAAAAACAAATCATCATATAAAAAAGCCCTATTACGAACGATTTATCTCATCCACGATCAGGCTACAAGTCTCATCGAGAAGATGGCATTTTTTGACAATAATAAATAAGAGTAGTACTACAAATATGTTCTTAATTTTAAGTTGCATTTTAAACATGATTCCTGCACATTCAAAATAGGCATCATTTAGGTTATATAAAGCAATTTATAATTTGTGAATTTATTTAATTTCATTTTTACTATCTTACAAAGTTAAAAATAACATTTCCCTTGTTAATGCAGTAATAAAAATTAAAAATTAATTCATTAATTTGACAGAAATCACAAAAAAATATATCATTTATTTGAATTTGATAGTTGATCAATGTCAACTGGAACTTGTATTTTCCGGGAATTTAGAGGGTCAGTAGTGGATTTATTAGTTGTAGGTACGAGGTGTGGATAAGGAAAATATTGTGTGGCCGTGATGGTGGTGGCGCATAATATGGCTCATATGGCAGTGGTGGGAAGAGGAGATGATTGTGGTGGAAGCTAGGGACGTGGAAGCCATTGGGAATAAGATTACTCTAAAAAGAACATCTCTGACAGAAAATACATTTTCTTTTTTCATCTCTACGTTGGTTTTTAGGTTGTAGGTAGTAAATGGTCCATGGCTTGGTTATACGTGATCGACCATAATTGGTTCTTCTCTCCTTTCATATATTTCTTCAATTTCTCTCCTTCGTTACAAATTTTATATCTAAATTTTCTCATCTCTCATTACAACCCATTACAATTTTTTACGAACAAAGACTCATTGATATAAAGTATGGGTCTTAATATTAATAAAAATTTAAGTTTCATAATCTTAATATTTATAACATTTGAATATATCTTTTGATATCAGCACTGACTGGATCTAGTATTTTGTTCAAATATTGATAATTGAAAAATAGATTTTTCTTGCTTTTAAAACATGTTCTTATCGTTGAAAGAATTGCTTCTTTTTAGTGATCCAAGTTTATTTATTATCATTTTATTAAATTTTATAGATTTTTGTAAGAATGTGTAAATACTGTTACAGCTGTGCCGTGAAAATCGTAAAAGTTAAAATTAATATTGATAGAATTATAGAATTATTGAGATTTTTTATCCAATATTGATATCCATCTTTTTAAATAAACATCATCCGTGAGAATATCAAAAAAAAAAAATCATGAATTATAATCATTTGTCTAACAATTGAAATAAAGTTGGGTATAGTATGTATAAAAATAAATAATAATGTTATGTAAAAAAAAAAAAAAATTATCATAACCATGAGAAAAAAAATTATGAATTAAAAAAAAATTTTAACTGATGCAAGAAAAAAAAAATTTAATCTGATACAAAAAAAGAAAAGTACGTTGCTGATAATACTTACATAGAAGTACAATTGTGATTATTATCCATAATAAAATAAAAGTATTTTGCTATTGTTTATATTGTTTAACTAAAACTGTGATTGAATATTTATCATTAAAAAAAACATGCAAAAAAAATAAATTAAAAAATTTTAACTTGAAAAAAAAGAAGGGGGAGGAGAATTTAAATCTGGTTTTCGCAAAAACCTTTATTATTCACGTTTGATAACAAAAAAAAACAGGATGTGCTTTACCAATGTCGATCAGTTTTTCTTTTCCTTTTATGATGGGCTGATGTAATTCTGAATAGTTGTATGTGCAACCGTCGGTCAGATAAATTAAAAAAAAAAAAAATCAGTCATGTAAAGTGGAAATTATATATAAAGATGATTTCAATGACTTTTTCACACATTTTTTCATTTATTTTCCTTCTTAGTTCATAAAACAGCTCTATTTACTAATTAGTTATACTCGGAATTTGTTCAAATACCAAGATGGACGGCACAAATAACCAAAATAACAACAATAATGACAATAACAACTGCAACATTTTAACAACAATGTTTACATCTTTGAAAGGTAATTATGATAAATAAAAATTTTACATTCTTTTGCCAAGTTTTAAACTACAATATTAACAAATTTCACATTTTAGATCTTCCTCAGAAATATCATATCAAACTATACATAGCGATTATTGTAGGTCTAATATCAATTTTATCTGGAGCGTATCAGGCAATAAATGAAGTGATCGAAGTAAAAAATGTATGTAAAAAATATAAACAATTCTGTATTTATATGAAATTACTAACACCTTTCAATTTAGAATATTAATATGATGGATAAGAATATTAATATTATAGGCGAGAGACTTCAACACTTCATTCAGATTACTGATGAACGGTTTAAGATTGCTGACGAAAGATATATGATCCAAAACGAAAAACTTGAAGTTTTAATGCAGAAAATACTTAATGATAAATATGAAAGAAGATTTAAATCAGTGAGTAGTAATACTTATATTGTTATTCAGGATATGATATAGATAATCTAATATGTTTGTATATTTCAGTTACAGTATGTTATTAGGCCTTACTTTCTCATATGACTTATTGCAAATGTAGTATTAATAATAACAAAATATTTATTAATTGTAATAATTTTTTCAGTAAACTTTTATCTGCAATTCACAAATAAAATTTTTCTTTATAACATATCCAAGTATAAAAAAATAAAAATTCTTCCAATCAAATGATCACTGCTTCAAGTTTAACTTCATATATTTGTAAATTTGATGTCTATCCTTTTAATTAAATATCATCCGTGAGAATATCATAGGATAAAAGATTATAAATAATAAGTTATTGGTTTAAATTCTTTTTGGTTGATCAATTAACTATATAATACGAAAAGAATAATATATTATTAATTTCATATGTTATTGAACCCTTCCCTATTAAACTCTAATTTTGTCTAATAATCGAAAAAAAAATTAACTGATGTGATTGATGTGAATTAAATAGTCATACGAAAAAAGTATAAAATAAAAAATTTAACTGATGCAAGAAATATTTACTATTGTGATATAAATTTTGTTATTCTAACATTAGGACTGCTTTTTTTTAACCAATAAATATTTAATTTTTAGCCATTATAAAAAACTAATTCTGATAAATAATTCATCTAAAAAAACTCAAGTGGAGGAAATTATTCCTACCTGCACTGACAAAGAATTAATTAATTATCTAAGAAATTTATTAATTTCTGGTATGTTTTCAACTGAAATATGTAATGTTTTGTGCTGTTATATTTAACTAATAATATGAAAAGTATATTCATTAATCTTGTATATTTTTTTTTTTTTTGCTTTTTATCATCAAACCCACCCAAAAAAAAACAAATTTGCATTACTATCATAGAGCTGGTAAACTACTCAACATAGTGAATGCACTCTTTTTAACTGTTATCTTATCTTTTTGGCCATACCCTATGTGTAGCTTATGATGTAGATTTGAAAACTATGATTAATAATATGATAATTCTCTAAAAAAAGATATGTAAACAGACTTTGATGATAAACTTAATTTGCATAGAACAGTTTTGAAAGCAGATCTTGATAACAAACTTAATCTGCTGAAAACAGATTTAGGGGAAGTTTATGAAATATTAGCACATTTTGAGGTGTCAAAATTCCAAGGTTCATACTACACTTCAAAATTTGAAATTATTAATGGATTAGTAAGTCTTGCATTGCCATGAAAATTACTTCTGAAAGTGTGACATGAATTTCAGGCAATATAGTTTCTTCATCTCATATTAATAAACTTTCAAAATTGCATTTATGTAAGTGAATACAAAATATTTTGAAATGAGCCTTTTATATATTATTCTTATTAACAAAATGTTTCATCTTTTTACATCTTCTTAACAGGTGTTTACTAAATGTTTAGTTTGAAAAACCAAATACAATTGATAATAATCAGGTATTTATATGTTTTTAATGCAACTGGAAATTAGACCACTTTGGGCATTCTGATCCTTCAATCTTCCATATAATATACTGACCCTCATTTATTGTAAAATTTTTAGGCTCCATTTAACATGGCTCTAGATGTAGATTTTTTGTGGAAAAGTATCAAGCCATACATTACAATTAAGCTGGAAGAAATTGAGCTATAAAAAAGGCCTATTGACAATTATTATTATGACTGGCTGATCTCAGATTCATAGTTGAAGCAATGAATTTTGAAAAGTGTAATTTAATAGGAAAAATATTTGTCCAAAAACCCCTGTAGTTATAATTCGAGGATGGGATGATGGCATCACATTTATAATTTTACTAATTATCATATAGACGCATTGTTACAATAGGAGAAAAACAGCACCGGAGTAAGTTATTTGCCTTAATGAAATATACTTATAATTTTTAATGAAATAAGTTTATATGTTTTTTCGTATCCACTATAGTTATTTTATTGCACTATGCCATATATCGAAAACTTTTCTTGACAACAAAACAGAATATGCAATCATTACAAAGTAATCCACCCACATCTTCACTTAACTTGTGGTGTGAGCCTGGAATTTAATGCGAACTGATGGAATCTATGTTGGAAATAGTATTTTAGGGCTAAATTATATAAAAATCCATATTCGGGGACAGATACTATCAATAAAGATAAACGAACAACAAAGTGGATCTATGCTTACTATAGGAGGACTGAATACTTCCCAATTTAAAATGCATAATCTGGTAATAAAAATATGTAATTTTTGATTTTTTTTTTTTTTTTTTGCTGACTTTCCTGGTGGATGATTACACGTATAGTTATATCATGGTTTTTTATGAGTGTATATAATATTAGTATAGTATGATTTGGAATTTTACTTTGTATGTATGATTTTTTATCGTAAAATAACAACATAATTATGATAATTCGAAGTTTGATCAACAGTTACATAGAAGACAATTATCAATGAATTCAAGATTTATTTTTTTTTAAAAAAATAAAAAAATTTCTTTTATAAATATTTTATTACATAAATATAAATAAATTTAAAATAATTACATCAATTAAAATATTAAAAAATTAATAAAATGGAAATAGTTCTCTCAGATGTAAAAGAAATTATTGTAGCTTTTAGAATTGGCTAATTTAGTAAAGAAAAAAGGAATTAGGATTAGAATGTAGGCAAGAAATCCTATATAATTTTTTTATAGGTAATTTAGTATTTTGCAGCTTCAATTTTTTTTACTTTATGTTCTACGATAAAAATTAAAAAAATTAAAAAAATTAAAAATTTAATAAATTTTTGCAAAAATCTTAAATATGATCATGTTTTATAATTTATTTTCTAAAGATAAATGCACATAAATAATGAAATGCTAGTATAACAAATAAAAATATTTATTTAAATTTTTAATTTCATATTTTAGAGAAGGAGCGAGCGTCATTGTATAGGATTTCAAGGGATTTAAAAAGTGTATGGCGAGGCTGGTAAAATAGTATGATTTATATACGTATGTATGATTTTTTTTTCACTACTACATACGTACAATTTATCTATATTTAGCAATCAAAGTAGTACGTACGATTTAAAACGCAAGTATACTACTACCTCTAAGATCAGATACGGTTTTTATGCACCCATTTATATTCCTGCTTATTCACTTTGGACAATAATATTGAAAATTATATTCGAGAAAATGTCTTATAGAAATTCTTTTAATTTTAAATACTGTATATTTTTAATGATTTATTAACGGGAATAATGCCTTTATTGGAAATTATTCTCAAAATGAAATTAAAATTTGATTAAACAGAGTGTCGCACAAGTTTCAATCGAATGGATTTACGTAATTAAAATATTTATAATTTTATTCTTTTATGAATTGCTTCTAAAGATCATCTTAAAAAATAAAATAAAATAAAGCCTTTATGTGAAGAAGTTTTATCAAAGAATTATAATTAGACATCCTTTAGTTTCATATGGTCATACATCTATATTCAAATAAATTGCCAAGGATTTATAAATTTGATTCCGAATTACTTAATCAAAGACAATATATTGTTACTCTTTGCAAATTGAATAGATGATGAATCAACATATAATTTTAAACTCGTTTAACGAACAATTCCGAATTGGATTTTTCATCCTCCGCGCTTATGATACGAAAAAGAATTGGATTTAAAAATTAATAATATTTTGGCAACAATTTATAAATAAGAAATATCGTATAGGTGTAGATGTATAGTGATAATTGGGCCAAGATAAAATTTTTATTTGTATTTAGAGCCGATAGGGATTAATGGGATTGGTGTGATTTTGCCCTTACATAGAATATTTGAAAAAAAATATTATGTGAAATATTCCAGGTTGATTAAAAATAATTTTTAAAATCAGTACCAGTACTTTTAAGGTCATTACGTGTTACAATCTTGTGGCTCTGCGTTGCACAAACATCGGAGGTGACTATTTGATAAGGCAAAAAGTAAAAGTCTTACTTTTTTTTCTTTTTATTCACATGAATAAGCATACAATACATAATCTCATCCATGTTGTACGACTTTTTCCTAAATGAATAAATAAAATTGGTAATTCATTTATCATTTAGCCATTTGTTATTTCAAGAAATAATGTTGTGTAACAAACCACTCGATAAACTTATTAACGAATTCATTTCTCAATATTGGCATTAAACATTTTCCCAACAAAATAAAATCATAATTTTAAAACAATGTCTTCTACACTCTATTCAGATTTATCACATAACTTTGGTCTTCTTCTTAATAATGAGATTAAATATAATGTTGTTATTCAAGTGGGAGTAGATGCTGGTTATAAAGAATTCCGTGCTCATTCTATTATCCTTCGTAGTCGCTCTCCGTATTTTCAAAAATCATTTTCTTCTAATGAAATTAAAGACGAAAATAACATATATACTTTCAAATTTCCAAACATTAATCAAACCGTTTTCCAAACGATTCTTACGTAAGTTGCAGCGTCATAAAATTAAAATTTCTTTTAAAAAAAAAAATAATAATAATGAAAGTCTAAATAATTTTTTTTTTCAAATTTTTATTTATAGTTACATTTATACTGGAAGTGTCGATTTAAATTTTAAACAAGAAGACGAAATATTTTATATTTTGCATGCCTCTGATAAGTTTTCTTTGGATACACTTACTAAATTTACCGAAAAATATCTTATTGAAAATCATTCAGAATATATAAGAAAATATTCCGTAAAAATTCTTCGAAGTATTTTAAATACAAATTATACTTTTGATGAATTGCAGGAATTATGTTTGGATACAATTTGTTATGAACCTAAACTTTTATTTCACGCTAATAATTTCACAAGACTTCCCGCTCCTTTATTGGAAATTGTTCTCAAACGAGATGATCTTAACTTAGTTGAAATTGAAATTTGGGAAAGTTTGATTAAATGGGGTGTCGCGCAAGTTTCAAGACAATTAAGTAATAGTAATCCTAACATATGGACTAATTCAAGGCAATTAAGTAATAATCCCAACGAATGGACTAAAGAAAATTTTACTGAATTAGAAAGAAATATTCATAATCTTATTCCTTTAATCAGATTTTACGAGATTTCTTCTAAAGATCATTTCAAAAAAATAGGACCTTATGAAGAAATTTTACCTAAAGAACTGAAACAAGATATTTTTCAGTTTCACATGGTGCGAGAACATACACCTATGTTCAAATCTTCGCCAAGGATTTTAAAGAATATAATGAACTTTGATTCTATAATACTTAATAGAAAACAATTTATTAATCTTGCAAATTTGATGGATGACAAGGATAATGAATCAGCATATATTAACAACATTTCATATAATTTTAAGCTGGAATATCGATTAATAAAATGCTATTCAAGTACTTGTATATTATTTTTGAATTATAAATTTAGATTTAACAAAAATAGTTCTTTCGTAATAGTATTTTCTTTTCGTAATAGTAATAGTAGTAGGTACGATAGTATCAATAAAGGATCCCATTACAAAGCAGGAGGTTATCTTTATAGTAGTAAATATTGTAGAGGAGGTTATTTTTACTGTAATCATAAGAACGAGGAAGGAAAGGTTTTTGCAATAACTGATTGGGAGAATATTGTAACTGAAAATATCAGTTTTAATTTTGACTTTTTACATAGTTGTCAAGGGAAAGTATCATTTGAAATATTCCGCGTTGAAAATGCTATTACTAATACGTTAAAAACCAAAGGTAAGAAAATGGATAAAGTCGTAGATAAAATAGATAGAAACGTAAATTGTAAAAATAAAGTATCCCTTATTCGCAGAGTGACCTTTAAGATTTTTGATGAAAAAAGAATTACTAAAAAAACCCCAAAATCCACATATGATGATTAAATTGAAATATTTTACTTTATTTTTGTTATCAAAATATAAAATTTTTAAAATATTATGCATGTTTTGATTATTGAAAAAAAAAAATTAAATAAATATAATATTTAAATTTTAAAACCCTTTTTTTTTAATATTTTCGCTAAAATTTTTTGCTCTAAATTTATTAAATTTTATAAACCTATTACTAATAACATTAAATTTATGAAACTCCATGTGAATCTGGAACAAAAAAAAAGATAAAATTGAAATTTGAGTAGCGCCGACCAAAATTTTTCATAGTGCGTAGAAATTCCGTTAAGCACACCTTTAAATTTACGTCGATAGTAATTTTTAATGCATGTGGAGCTTAAAAAGAAAGGAAAAAAAAATAAAGTAGAATCTTTGTATCGTTATTTTTATTTTTTTTTTATTTAATTTTTTTATATTTCAATAATGTTCATTTTTATATACGATTTTTTTTTCGTTCAATGCAAACAAAGATGAAAAAATATTCACATAATAATCTTAATGAAAGTCAGAAATGTAAATAAAAATGGTAACGACAGAATGACGACATGATTAACATGTAAATAAAAAATCTCGAACTCGAGATTATGTTAAATATTGCATGATAATATAACTATAAATTTATTATGTATTTAATATAACTATAAATATATTATGTATTAAAAAAAAAATTTAATAGTGTAACAATATGATTTATCCAATAATTAATTTCTATTTTTTTTTACTATAACTTATTACATGAGAAATTTTCCGATTGTATTTTTCGACGTGTAAATCAAATTGTAAACCTACTGTAAATCCGGAGAGTTTTCAACATTAGTACTTTAAATATCATTATACTCCGTTTATCGATCCAATTAAAAAGTTGATCATTAAAGCCAAGTATTTCAAGAAACTAATAATATCAATACTATCAGAAAATTTTCACCTATTAAATCGTATCTATTTAACCTAAGAAGATAAATTTTTTTTTATTTTCTTTTTTTCAAAAAAAAACGAAAAAAATGTTTTACATAAAGGAAAGGCATTTCCTTTTTTATTATTATAAATTTTTTTCTTGATTTTTTTTACGAAAAGAGAAAAAGATAAATCAAAAATGGGAAGTTATTTCCTTTTCAATCAAAAAAATCAAAAAATGTTAGCTTTGCCATAATTATTATTTTTTTTTTTTTTTTAAGGTTCAACTCATTTATTAAAATTTAAAATAAAAAGTTACAAATACGCGAGTTACAACAATAAAGATCTAGCTAACTAGTTACTAAATAGTTGTGGGGGAATAAGAATTAATTGCTCTATGAGACTATCTAAATCCCGCTGCCGACCCAAAAACAACTTTCACCCATTTACCCGATGGACTACCGGAAGACGTATCAACCTTAATAGCGTTTATCAACTACACTAACAAATACTAAAAATTAACTACACTACTACTACTAATAAATTAAATAGCAATCAATTTTTATATGATTGTTAATGATCTAAAAAATCTATCGAATTATTTGATATGTAAGTGACGTTAACAATATGCTAGGTAATATAGTATATGCTGATCAGCATGAATGCATGATACTTCAGTTATAGTTATTTTATAATATCACGTGTATCACATGATACATAAGTACAGAATAAAATTTATGAATAAATAATATTTAATACATCTAAGAACGTTAGACTCCAATCGTGTCTACATTTTAAAAATAAAAATAAAAAATAAAATTTAATACATCTAAGAAATATCTTAGACTAATTTTCACTACTAATTCTCGATGTTTTTTACCACCTATTTACCACCTATTCACCACCTATTTAATAGCATTTTACGATATGTTATCGACATTTTCACGAGATCGTTTGATACCATGTCGTCACATGTTTGTGATTTCACGGGTTTCTGCAAAGTATCATTTGATTGTTAATTATATGGACAACGATACAATTGATATGTATTCGTTTATTAATCAAAGGAATAGAGTGGATTCCATATTCTCAAATTACGAATTTAAAGAAAATAGCAGATAAAGTGACTTGGGAAGGGACTGATGTTGTTGTAAAAAATTGCGTGATTCACATAATATCAGTAAACATTTTCTAAATGAGGTAATATTTACATTTTATATACTTGCAATGTGTTTTTAATACTTATTGTTTTAATTGATTTATTTATACTTTAGTTAAGATCACTTTATCAATGTAATGATAACAATTACTATTGTGTTATTGGCTGTTATGGCATTACACAAGATCCTATAACAATAGAATATATATTAATATTGAATTATGCAGAAGGTGGAAATTTGCATGAATAATTGCAAAAGAACTTTATAAATCTTACATGGTCCGAAAAATTGTTTATATTACAAGGATTATCGATTGGGTATTTATTGTATATTTTATCTTAGTGAATTAATCTATTTTCTATATTTTCAGTAAGTTTATTGACAATTAAATGTTTTATTTTAGACTCGAAAATATTCATAATAATAATTTTATACATCAAGATATTCTTACTAGTGGAAATATGTTATTATCTCAATATTGGAAAGTGGAGACTTAGGATTATCACAACCTGCAAATAATACATTATCAAATAATGAAATATATGGAGTAATACCTTATATTGCACCAGAAATATTTAAAGGTGCTGCATTTTCAAAAGAATCTAATATATATAGTTTTAATATGATTATGTGGGAACTTACAACAGGTTCTAAATCTTATGCTAATATTGAACACAATGTTGAGCTTATTTATGAAATTATTGATGGAAAACGCCCTGAAATTACAAATGATACTCCTGAATGTTTTGCAAATTTGATGAGAAAATTTTAGGATTCTGACCCTTTAAAAAGACCAACTAATTATGAAATCGTGAAATCTCTTTGCGAAATGTATATTGACAAAACGTTTAAACAAGCTGAAAAAAGAAAGATTGGAATTAATACAATTAAAGCAACTTGGACCCGAATTTAGTGAAGAATCTCATCCAAAGGCAATTTATACAAGTAGAGCATTAAGTTCTTTAATTTCAAAAGCTTCAACTATAAATCTTCTTCAATGATCTCATTTAATGTCAAACAAGGTATGTTATACTATTAAGTAATAATTAGCAATTAATGAAAAAACCTGAAGCATTAGTTAGACGATCTGGTAATAATAATTGAATTTACTTCTTTAAATTTATATTTAACTTAGATATCTTTTATTAATTTTTAGGATATATTACAAAAGAATATTAACTTGATATAAATAATATTCAAATGTAATTAATTAATATTCAAATGTATGTAAATTGCTAATAATATAAATAAATAATAATAATTTCATACGTTTTTTAGTTCATCCACACAAAATACAAATTCCGCTACTCAAAGCTTAACTGTATCCGTAAATTCTTCAAGAAACGTAATTTTGAAGAATTAAATAATGGAAACGAATGAAACTCAAAAAAATAGTAAGTAAACTCATTATTTACGATTACGAATGTAATAAATAGTATCTAAAGTTTTTCACTCCAACAATTTTATAATATTTTTTTTTTAACTAAAATAGGAAAATATACTAAAGTTGATATAAATTCAGATGATGAATGTTGTTGAATATAATTGAGTTTATTAAATTTGTATCAACAGGAATTAGAAAAACAATACTGTCTTTTCATTTCTTTATTAGAATTTAGAAAAAACATTTCTTTATTAGAGAATTGAAAAAAAAAACACTTTTCGTCTATTAGAAAATTAGAAAAAATTCGTTTCTTTATTAGAACATCATTTTTTTTTTACTGTTTTGTTAGAAAAATTGTAAGAAAAAATTTTTTTTTTCGTTTTTGTTAGAAAATTATAATTTTTTATCTTTTTTTGCTTCTTTATTAAAATTTTGAAAAAAATACCATTTTTTCCATTTCTTTATTTGACAATTAGAAAAAAAACATTTTTTTCGTCTTTATTAAAGAAAAAAAATTTTTTTTTTTTTCGCTTCTTTATTAGAAAATTAGAAAATCAGAAAAAAAATCTTTTTTTTCGTTCCATTAGAAAAATTATAAAATTTTTTTTTTTTTTGTTTGGTCATTGGTGAATTACGAAATTGTGATTACTACTTTCTTAGCTTGATGGACAACAACGTGACGGGGTACGCCTAGTTTCATTCAGTTATAAAATTATAATAATCTAATTATCACTTCACAAAATATGAAATATTTTGTATTTAGGTTTAAAGGAAAAAAATACATTAAAGATAATAAAAAAAAATAAAATGGTATTGTATTTGAATAAATAATGCTCGACAATTTTTTGATATAAATTACTTTAAAACTACTTAGAGAATTCGCAACTATTGTTGACTTCATATGGTAATTTTTCGTTGTAAACCTTATTTATATTATGCCACTTTAAAGTTTATTTGAAACCCAGAAACTTTGGCTTTCTAACAGATATTTTTAAGCAGAGTTTGAAAAAATAACGAAGTAAAAAAAAATGATGATCTCTATTTTTTGCCATATGTAGTACGATATAACGTAATAGTCGTGTAACATCTAAGCCCGTGATAAATCACGTTGCCACCTTAGATATTAATAATATATCTAAATACAATAATATGCTTGGTTTAATAATATTAAATATCAGTTAAATATTTATCCTAAAATTTCAAAATTCGATAGTTCTCCCATATTAAAATCCTTCAATCTAAAACCATTAAATTAATTAATGTGCCACTTTTTCATCATAAGAAAAAGGCAAAAAGAATCGAAATTATCTATTCTAAAGGTAAATTATATTTTTTTTTATCATTTTCAAAATTCGTAACCTTTTTTTTGACAAGATCAAATATTTCTTCCTTTTATAAGAATTTAGTACCTCATTCTTAATCGTTCTTTAATCACAACCTATAATTCACTATTTAATATCATACTCTAAATGATCTTCATAGTAACAACTGAAGTGGTCATTTTCATGGGGGAGCTTAACATGCTTTTAAAGATTTTTTAAATGAAAGTTATTGAACACTGCCATTAGAACTTCAAATTAACATATCTCAGCCAATAAGGATTCAATTTTTATGATATTAATTATTAATTTCTAATTATTAGATTATAGGATAACTCTAGCAAAATTTTATGAAATATTGCAAACCATTTTTTATATTAAAACACTTAAAAAAAATGGTTCGCTATGTTTTTTATCAATAATAATATAAGAAATGTTGCAAAACGTAACATTTTTTATATAAAACACTTATAGAAACATTTTTTTTAATAACGCCAATAGATATAATAAAATCTTTCGGAATTTTTTTTTTGATTTTTTTTTTCTAATAATAGGTATAGTACGTAAGACAGATATTGTATAAATAAAATTTTCTAATAATGCCAATAGATCTTTATAGATATAACAAAATATTTCAGAAATTTTTTCTATATTTTTTATCTAATAATAACAATATATTGTATAATAAAATACATATGGCAGATATTTTATAAATAAAATTTTCTGATTTATTTTTTAATAATACCAATAGCAATAGATCGTTATAAATATAATAAGATCTTTCAGATTTTTTTTTTTAAAATTTTTTTTTCTAATAATAGGTATAGTACGTTGTAATGCCGTAATCTATCTAATTAATCTATCTAATTAAAAAAATTTTGTCATATTTAGATTACCCTGTATAAATAACTTGAATTGTGTAACATTGAAAAGTGTGATATTCTTGCGTTCGATCTATTTCGTATTTAATTAACTGACTATGATAACCAATCTTTAAACTAATACATTTTCAGTTAATTAAAATTTTAACTTGATTTTTTTTCATTCTGATGGATTAATACTAACAAAAAAAAGTATAATTTTTCTTATTAATTGCATTTATTTGCGCTCTCTTAGTTACCACGAACCAATAATAATTTTTTTTTATTTTTTTTTATTTTTCAGTTTTTACCGTAAAAACTGAAACTACCTTTTTAGTCTTTTTTTTTATTAATTTTTTTATCTCTCTTTTTATCATTATTGTTTCTTTTGGTTAACTTAACTTTTTGTTTTGTTTATCAAATTTTTTTTTAACCCAAAAAAATTTGTGAAAATTTTTTTTGATATTAACGATAATAAATTTTTTGATAAATCTATATATCTAAAAAAACTATATAACTAAAAAAATTTTGCTGACGTTTGGATTAGTCTCTAATTTGAATTGTGTAACTTGAAATCCCATGCCATATAATTAAAACCCGTGACATGCCTCCACCTGATCTATTTATCCGTGTACATTCCAATCAACTAATACAATTTCAGTAATTTCAGTAATAAAATTTTACCTTAATCGGAATTTTTTTTTTTGATTATTAATTTTAAATTTTTCGTTTTGAAAAAAAAAAATTTTTCTCCCTTTCTTCTTTCGGTTTAGTTTTTTTTTCAAACCGAAAAATTTTGTTTTTTCTCGTTCTTTCCCGTTTAGGTTTGATTTTTTTTCCCAAACTGAAAAATATTTTTTTTTCGAATTATTGTCCTTTTTTTTCAGAATTTTTTTCGGCACTTATTTTTTTTCAGATTCCTTTTTTTTTTGGAAATTTCCCTTTTTTTGAACCGATTCTTTCTTTATCCTTTTTCTTTCCCCACATTTATTTTTAATTTTTTTTTTTTTCTTTCAATTTTTTTTTATAATAACATGTAGAAAGATGATTAAGATTTTCAATTAAATTGAACGCTGGATAAATAGTTTGATTTTCAAATTCATAAAAATCAAAAAAAATTGATATTTTCACAATATTTTATAATCAATTAATTAAAGAAATTGTTGATTTGATAATAGACTATTATAACCAAATCCATATCCGAAATTCTGAATAAAAATTTTAATTCAAATGGTTTAGTTAAATTGATAATTTATCGAATAAAAATGAGTATCAAAAGAATAATAATAAATGAAATGAACTGATTTCTAATATTTAATTGTTCAAATATTTTTCCTAAATTGATTATAAGTTTAAAATTGACGTAATATAAAATAATAAGAGATAATTATAAAATTTATAATTAATTAATAAAAATATTTGTAGTATTTTCATAATATTAAAGTTTTTTCAAAATACTTCTAAAAAATTAATCAACTTTTATTGATAATTATTTTTTCTCAATTCCTAATTAATCTGAATTTCACTCTACACTCAAACATCAAATCATTAATATAAATAGCTACATTATTCTAAAAATAATTTTGATTTCATTTTTTCCATATCTTCCTGAAATTCCTGAGCTATCCTAATAACTTTGATCACATGATCTTTAGTAATTCCTTCATTATTACCTTCGGCCAACGTTTGTGCTATATGAAGAACATTACGAATTTCTCGTCCATTCAATTCATATTTAGAAAAATCATCTGCATTGAGATCCAAGCCGGCACCATCGATGAAATTTTTCCAAATTTCTTTCCTTTTCTCTGGAACGAGTTTTGGATAATGGAAACACATAGTAATTCTTGAACGGAAAGCATCATCAAAACTCATAACACGATTTGTTGTTAAGAAAAGGATACCTGAAGAGGAAAAAGGAGGATAAAAGGAAAAGTGAAGATAAATTGATAAAAAATTCTCTTCTGTAAATATTAAAACAAGGATAGCAATCTTTCTTACCTTGATAATATTCTAGATGACGTAAAAATATACCAGTCATCGCATTACGCTTTGCATTACCCGAGGTACGTTTTTCAAAATAGATATCAGCTTCATCAAGTAGGAGGACAGCCTTCCATGTAAAAGCAATATTTAGAATCTTAACTAATTGTTGTTCCATCCTTTTATACAATAAAGAAGCAAAGGCAATCAAATAGTAAATCTCACAAGTATAGAAAAATATTAACAAAATACGTTCAAAATATTAAATACTTTGCAAGATCCGTTCCAAGTTCATGCACGCCAATCGTCCATAATGGCCGTTTAAGAAGTTCAGCTACACTTTCAGCTGTTAATGTTTTCCCGGTGCCAGGTGGGCCATAACAAAGAAAGATGCATCCCTTACCTTTATTGGCAATGGGATCAAGTTGTTTTACTAATAGAGAGTCAGAAGGATTACCATCTTCAAGTTTTTTACCATTGGTTGTTTGGTTGCTGTACTGTTTCACTAATTCCAAAAGTACTTCTTTTTTATCTTGAGGCATTACCAAATGCTCGAAAGCATTTTCATTAAAATTAATTTTATTGAAATCCATGACCAAGAATTGGCCCCATTCCTTCAATGCGAAACTGAATCCATACACTAACGCAGGTGCGAAACAATAAGATTTCTCATAGTCATAGTCTTCGAGGTAACCCTTTTTACCGAGCAAATTAACATCACATGGATTTGGTGGTTTTGCATTTCTCATTAGATAGCCAGGATTCATGGTTGCAAAACTTTTGAGATCAATCATAACACGTCCATCAGCCCTTATCGCTTCTATCTCATAGCAACCATTTACTTTTGTCCAACGAAACAATGAGCCCGTATACTCCATAAAATGTCTGTTTGCTGCAAGTTCAAAAAATTTTTTCCCAATACAATAAATGGTTTCCTTGAGGAAGTCGCGAGATTCAGAAAATCTGAATGGAACAACTGATAAATCAGAGAAACTTTTTTCTCCATTAAATTCTTCGATTTGGCGTTTTACATAACAATGCTTAAATCCATGGCCATCATAATCAACAACCTTAATAAATATAACAAAAAATGACACCTTTTCAAAATTTTTCGTTTTAACTACTTTTTCTGTTGAAAGAATGGTACCACCGATTTGCTGACTGGAAATATCACATTTGCTAGAAACCAATTTTCCCAATAAAAGAAAATAAATTTATAAGCAGTTTAAATAATGGTTTGCAAAAAAATGCAAAAAAATAAATAAAAGCAAGGTAGAAAAATCATATGAATTATATTAAAAAAACAATTTTTTAAATTTGAAAGTACTTACTACCATACTTCCAAGCCCTTGGTGTAGAATACCCACAACATGTCAAATGAAACTGTCTTTTTTTCTATCGTTTTATTTTGTTTTTCGATCGTCTCATTATATTCCTGTTTAAGGAATCGGATCAAGTGATTCAAGTGGCTCTTTTTTTCTAAGGATTAAATTTAAAGTCAGCTAATAATTATAGCTAAACGAAATCTATTGTATGAAATTAGTAATTACCGGTTTCCACCGAAGGTTCAAATGTAAATTTAGATGCAGTCTCCAATCCATTATATAAGATCTCTAAATCTTCCATAACGTGATACAAATCCTGAGCTTTGATCTTGGGCATATCATTGTTATCAATGAGGATTTCTTGAAGGATTTGGATCAATGGCCGAGAGTATAACTCAACAAAAATTGTGTAGTTATAGTAAATTATTGTAAAAATGGTACTGTTTTGTTTTTGAGTTTTTTTAAATGGGATGATATTTTCGCGTCCCCAATGGTCTCTCATTATATTAACACAAGGCCACTGCCAGTCTTCCTTTCGGACATCATTGTAATCTAATATCGTGGTCATGAAGAAGTGATAAGTGAATAAAAGTATAACAAAAAAAAAAAAATTAGAGGAAGCGTTAACAATTAGCTAATAAAAATATATATAAACGACATATACCGAGTACCGACTAATTAATAAACCCTGATACATACTTAATATTTGAATTGGTGTTTTCAAGTTGTTCACAAGGTTCTCATTTATTTCAAGTTCGGGATCTAAGTCAACCTCTTCACCGTGCTTGCGAAGGCTTATCCGGCTAACATTAAGACTTGGTAATTCTTTCTTGATTGCCTTTTTCAAATCATCCACGTCCCCTTTGTCAATGACAATTTTGATTGGACAATTATCTTCGTATTTAACCCAGATTTTATAAGCCATGGTTGTGCGGTAAAGATAAATTTTCGTATTTCGGGACAATAAATTAACGCGTATAAAAATTTGATCTTTTATATAATTAAAATCAATGATACAAAGAAGACTAAATAAGGTGAAATAATAATGAAAAGCTTAGTGTAACTTATTTACATTGGTGGTGTAAGAAATTATCCCCTGATCGGCATCATTTTCATGATTATGCAATTGTAGTTACTATACCTATCGGATAACATTTGAAAATGTGAGTAATTCAAAAAGATTTGCATTTTCCAAATGAGAAAAACTTTCTTTTTATTTATTCGTAATCTCAATATTAATAGTACTAGTTCCGAAGCTTTTTAAAATTTAATCATTTTTTAAATTGGCAGGGGATGTCCTGTCGGCCGATCATTTATCCGATTTTTAGTAAATGTTAATTAGTAATACTTATGTCGTAACATTTTCATTCATTAAATATACTATATTAATATAGTATAGTGTATTTTGCCTATCATTTTACCAGTATATATATATCAGAAAAAAAAAATTATTCGGAATCCCAAATAAAGGTAAATAATAAAGTTTTGCATATTGTGCTAACGATAATCATACTGCAGCTATTTACTGTAAAAGTTTTGTTAAAAAAAACATTCATTCATTAGTAATGTCAAATTATTCATTCAAATTCTAATTAAACACATTTTTTCAGGTTACGCTGGGTGCAATGCGCAAATAAAAATCACGTGCAATTTGCGGCTAATTTGCGCAAATGCCGCAATTATTTTCAAATCTGAAAATTTTATTAAATAAATAAATAAATATTATTATTAAATAAAGAACAAAGTTAATATCCTTTTTTTTTTAGTGATTCAGCATTCGTTTTTTTAACTTTATTTAATTGCCTAATTAATTAATGTACAAAGTCTGCGCTCTGCAAATTTTCCTAGGCGTAATTTGTCACAGATTTCATTATTTGTGTAGTTGATTATTTGTACCTTAAAAAGAAAAAATCAATCTTTTCAATAAACTTTTATAGAAATGACAAAAAGTTCTATAGAAAACCAAGAAACTATTATAGAAATATTTTAATTCAATTAGACTAAGAATTTAATTTTAAGAAGACATTGTATAATACTGAACATACAATAATTTAGAATAAATGAATAATACATTATATATTTATTTATTAGTATAATACAACAATCTATATTTGAACCCTATAAAAACGAAATGAGGTAAATTTGTTTAATATTTGTGCTCATGTGTAATAAATGTCTAAAAAAGCACCATTTTGTTTAATTTTTGTTTTTTTGTAATAAGACATAAATCGGACAAAATGGTGCTTTTTTGGACGTTTTTTACACATGAACACAAATTTAACACATTTCGTTTTTATAGGGGAATGATATAAATTATATTTACAATATTTACAATACAATAATGTGAAGTGTATTTACAATATGATTAAATTAGAATGATTTAGTATTACAATAACTTGATACAAATATTATAATATTAAACAAACAAATGTTTCAGTATTATAGAATTTATGGTTTATACGTTTACAGACCCTATAAAAACGAAATGTGTTAAATTTGTGTTCATGTGTAAAAAACGTCCAAAAAAGCACCATTTTGTCCGATTTATGTCTTATTACAAAAAAACAAAAATTAAACAAAATGGTGCTTTTTTAGACATTTATTACACATGAGCACAAATATTAAACAAATTTACCTCATTTCGTTTTTATAGGGAGACTCATCACAAAATCAATTCTGAATAATTAATTTGTTACAAAAAAACCAAAGAATACTTACGAATGTATTATTTCCTGTAGTGAGCTTGACTTCCTTTATTTAACCTTCTTTTACGTTGTTCAGATGTTTCATCTTCAATTATTTCATGAAGAGAAGCCATTTGGATTTTTTAATATCAATAATTATTGTGTTATGTTGGTGAGAAATCAATATAAAATATTATCACACAACAAAGGTGTTGAAATATATCGGGTTTATGCTTTATATTTATATCTGTAAAATAATATAAAACAATAAATTACACAGATTTTATTTTTTCTAATAAATTTGGAGAATTTATTAAAGTGGTCTATTGTTTAAAAAGAAAAATACCCATAAAATCTATTATAGAGATCTATTGTCATAAAAACAGAAAAAATATATCAAAAAAAAATTACTGAAACTAAAAAAAAAAAATCGGGGAGATACAATATGATCGGAAAAAAATTATCATCAAAAAAAAAATTTACCAAAGCTATAAAAAAAAAAAGTCCCCCGACCTATTGCTATCGGGAATAAAAAAAAAATTTGAAAAAATGCTTACTAAAAAATTTAAAAATTACTAAGAAAAAATCTCCCGGACTATCAATCTACTTCTTAATAATGAGATTGAATATAATGTTGTTATTCAAGTGGGAGAAGATACTGATTATAAAGAATTCCGTGCTCATTCCATTATCCTTCGTAGTCGCTCTCCGTATTTTCAAAAATTATTTTCTTCTAATGAAATTAAAGACGAAAATAACATATCTACTTTCAAATTTCCAAACATTAATCAAACCGTTTTCCAAACGATTCTTACGTAAGTTGTAGCGTCGTAAAATTAATTTTTTTTTAAAAAAAAAATAATGAAGTTCAAGTCTTAATTATAATCTTTTTTTTTCAAATTTTTATTTATAGTTACATTTATACTGGAAGTGTCGATTTGACCTATAAACAAGGAGACGAAATATTTCATATTTTGTATGCTTCTTATGAGTTTTCTTTGGATACACTTACTAAATTTATCGAAAATTATTTTATTGAAAATCATTCAAAATATTTAAGAAAATATCCCGTAGAAATTCTTCAAAGTATTTTAAATACGAATTATACTTTTGATGAATTGCAGGAATTATGTTTAGATACAATTTGTTATGAACCTAAACTTTTATTTCACGCTAATAATTTCGCAAGACTTCCCGCTCCTTTATTGGAAATTATTCTCAAACGAGATGATCTTAACTTAGTTGAAATTGAAATTTGGGAAAGTTTGATTAAATGGGGTGTCGCACAAGTTTCAAGACAATTAAGTGATAATCCTAACGAATGGACTAAAGTAGATTTTACTGAATTAGAAAGAAATATTCATAATCTTATTCCTTTAATCAGATTTTACGAGATTTCTTCTAAAGATCATTTCAAAAAAATAGGACCTTATGAAGAAATTTTACCTAAAGAACTGAAGCAAGATATTCTTCAGTTTCACATGGTGCCAGAATATACATCTATGCTCAAATCATCGCCAAGGGTTCCAAAGAATATGAACTTTGATCCTATAATACTTAATAGAAAACAATTTATTAATCTTGCAAATTTGATGGATGACAAGGATGATGAATCAGCATATATTAACAACATTCCATATAATTTTAAACTGGATCATCAATTAATAAAATGCCATTTAAGTACTTGTATATTATTTTTGAATTATAAATTTAGATTTAATAAAAATAGTTCTTTCGTAATAGTATTTTGTTTTCGTAATAGTAATTGGTACTACGATAGTGGATATTATACAGTAGGAGGTTATATTTATAATAGTAAATATTGTAGAGGAGGTTATTTTTATTGTATAACTGATTGGGAGAATATTGTAACTGAAAATATCAGTTTTAATTTTAACTTTTTACGTCATGGGAAAGGATCATTTGAAATATTCCGCGTTGAAAAAGTAGTTATTACTAATACGTTAAAAACCAAAGATAATAAAATAGATAAAGACGAAATAGATGAAGATGTAGATTATAAAATAGATAAAAACGTAGATTGTAAAAATGAGGTATCCCTTATTCGCAGAGTGACCACTAAAATTTTTGGCGGGAATAAATCACGAAATTCTAAAGAAACCCCAGAAACCACATATGATTATTAAATTTATTTATTTATTAGATGATTATTTGTCGTTTAAAATATTTTACTTATTTTTGATTATTAAAATATAAATTTTTAATTTTGCATGTTTTGATTATTGAAAAAAAAAAAATTAAATAAATATAATATTTAAATTTTAATTCCTTTTTTCTAATATTTTCGCTAGCTCTAAATTTATTAAATTTCGTAAAACCTATAATTAATGACATTAAATTTATGAAGCTCCATGTGAATCTAAGATAAAATTAAATTTTGAAAATCTTTCATAGTGCGTAGAAATTCCGTTAAGTACACCTTTTAAATTTACGTCGATAATTTTATTTTTAATGTATGTGGAGCTTAAAAAGAAAGGAATAAATTAATTTATTTTTAATTAATTCGTGATCCGCCAGTGAACCATAAAACTTGGCTATTAAATTCCGGTGAAAGTTATATATATATTTACTAATAGCACGGAATCTACAGTTCCGCCAATGCAAGGTACAAATTACTAAAATATTATATGAAAACTAATATTATAGGCATAAAAATATGCCATTTGGCTATCTTAATAATAAAAGACCGGTAAAAATTTTAAGCACCAAAAGACACTTTCATAAGAGCTGAAAATTTGAATTTGAAAAAAAAGAAAAATTTAGTATTTTAAAATTTTAAAGATAACTCATCATCTAGTGGTCGTATGAAAATAAAATTTGGTTTATCGGATTCGTCTCATTGAGACGCATCTAATGGTAATGATTTTATGTCTTTATGACCAATAGAAGGCGAGTTATCCCATATTTTTTCTCCAGAATCGCAGATTCTAAATTATTGATAAAAATATATATGAACTTATCACCGCCTTTTAATAGTCAAATTTTATGGTTCACTGGCGGATCACGAATTAAATATTTAAATAGCTATCACGTAATTATACCGTAAAATTTTTTTGATTATTGATGTAATAACAACAAAAAAAAGAATCTATGAATAATTTCCTTCCTTTTTAGAAGATTTTCAACCGAGCACCGGTATGGTAATGTATATACTGTTTACAAGTTATATGGAACTGTGAAAAAAAAGGTGAAGAAAATAAAAACAAATTTTTTTTTTGTTCAATGCAAACAGGTGATATAATAATCTCAGATATGTAAATAACAATGGTATGTATTTAAAATATTATCTGTTATGTATTAAAAAAAAATTTAATAGTGTAACAATATGTCCAACAATTAATTTTACTGTACTTATTACATGAGAAATTCTCCGATTGTATTAGGCACGTGCAAATCAAATTGTAAACCTACTGTAAATCCGGGGAATTTTCAACTTTTAAAACCTTAAATATTATTATATTCCCCTGTAATAATACTAATATTGTATAATCAGGGAAATATAAAATATATTGTATAACACTTGTATAACACAACCCCTTAATTGTTCTGAGAAATCCATGTTTATCATTAACAAAATAACCAATAAACATTTGAAAATATTCAACTATGAATCAAAATACTTTACAAAATAACCAAAATGATCCCACTTTTACTGAATTCAATAATTCACAACCTACTGTTATTCAACCGGGATATTCTTCAAATATTAATTATAATGATGTGAACGTCAACTCTTCTGATAATAATCTCACAACATTTTATACAAACACCAATTACTCAGATCAGCACCCCCCTTCTAACGAAAACATCTCAACTCCAATTGTCTCCTCGTATGCTCCGCAAAATGTTGGGCCGCAGCAACCTATTGAAAATATTCCTTTTCCACATGGTTCATCTAACATGACTACTATCCACCCTTCTCAATCTGAAATCTTAAGTTTTGATATTCCAGGGTTCAAAATTATCGTCATACCTACTTTTTCTCAGCAAGATAATACTCATTTGAATTATTCTTCTTCAGATATCACGAATACACAATTTACTCAATTTTAACGATAAATTTTCATATAACTTCAGCTACGCGTAATTTTTGTTTTTTAAATCCTTTTTATTTTCTTTTATTTTTTTATATTTATTATTTTTATTTGTATTTTTTTACATTTTATATTGTATAACTATTATGTCATTTTAAATAAAAATTTATTATTTATCGTTCCAAATGAAGTAAGTCTACCTTTTTGGTAAATTTATGTGAATAATAACTTCGACCTCATTTACGAACGAAATAATTCTCGATTTTAGGACGATAACTATGATATAAGAGGAACTTATTTCTAATATATAATCTAATTACAAATTAATGAATTTCTTTTTCACGTAATCATATGAATAACAGAATTTATCTTCAATATTTGATTGTGAAAATCATATCCAAAAATTGAGGATGGTATGAGTTCAAAATTTTTCTGGTCGCAATATTGATGTAAGAAGAACGCTTGAAAAATCATTTCGCTTTTCGGTATTTCTTTCAGTTAAATATTCAAACTTTTCTTGATATCATTAGTATGATTACATGTGATACATGTGCAATGATTCAATGTGGAAATCACCCAACAGGTCTGTGTGACATAAAAACATATATTAACATGCTTTTCCTTGCGAAAACCCATGAAATTAGTTTCACCGTACAAATCTCCGAAATTTCTGATGTTGACGAAATTGACTAACATCAAATTATTTAATTCTTAAATAATGAAAATTTGTTATGTGATTTATATTATAGATTATTCAATTGCAGAACCCATTTTCAAAATAAATAATTTTTTAGAGTATCAGTAATAAGGGGTTACACCAAAACGCTGGACATTTTCCTGACACAAACGGTGAGAGAACTTGTTAACATTCCTTCAAACAAAAATTGACCATAACTCAGAAATTATAATATGAAGGTGGACCCTACTCAAGACCTACGAACTTTGTTAAGGAAATTAAGAAATAATACTTTTTTCTTTGTAGTTAAAGGAAGTATTATCAAGATATGATCTCAAAAGTGAAGATACGGTCACCATCCCGTTATTTTATCCTACCAGCTTACGAAATTAGGATGATGATAACTTTACGATTTCTTTATTCAGAATCAAAATTATGAACTTTAGTTTTAGATAGCTTGGAATCAATTCGCAACGAGTACGTTTTCAACGATGATACTCCACATTGTTACTAAAAATCTTACTGAAAAGAATTTTAATATGAAATCATTGGCGATGAAAGTTCTGGGTGGGTTGATTATGCAATCAAGGTACAAGAATTTTTTACTTCACTCTTATTATGAACTAACACTGACTTATTTGCGTCACGGAGGACAAGATTAACATAGTAGTATGCTCAAAGGCTTCGCTCAAAATATTAGGCAACTCGAAACGAACAAGAGAAGCGATGATGATGATGATTTCGATCATCTTTATAGTGGCATAACTTCCGCTAGGGATTGCTTTTTACTCTAGAAAAGATTTTCCGAGGTGGCAAATTACCATCGAGAATCGAATTTTTCAAAGATGCTTTAGTCTAAAGAAAATAATAATGATAAGTAATTTATTCATGTAATAAAAAAAAATTCAATTAAATTGATTTAAACTTACCTTGCACGTTATAAAGTGACTCTAACATTTACGTCACCTATAATGCATATATATTTTAGTATTTTCATGATTAAGGATGTGATTAAATTCCTGAGTACAAAACTCAAGCATTTTCAGCTTATTTATGAACCCTTAATGAAAAGGTTTCAAGACTTTGTATTAATAAAAATGATTCAAAGGATTTTGACATGGTCCTATATTACGCTTAATTTCTGAACGAGCTTCATAATAAAGGCATTATGTCCAAATTTATCCCGATAAATTAACTCGTGGTTGATAATCAGTAAAAATTGGCATTATTTCATGACTTCCAATCCATTTTGTCGCTTTAATGAATAACGTAAAGATTATATGATTTGGATGACATTAAATTATTTGGTCATAAATTCTTCTGTAAACATAATATCCACATCGTGTTCATAAGATATCCATCTATACAATATAAATCAATTAATTGGAGACCAATAATACACAGTATATGAATTAAGAACAATTCTAATCTTTATTACCGGCACCAAAGATATTATCAACAATAATTGGTAATGTGTAACCTTTCAAAATCTAATATTGAATTTCAGATCATCAGCGAATTTGAAGTAACTTATTCGTTTTAAAAAAATTCACACATGATGTTCACCTTAATAGGCTTTTAGTTACAACAAAAAAAATGATAACTTAAATTGAATAAAGTTCCATCATATAAATATTAAATAAACTGGTGAAATAATATTATCAATCGTCGATATGGTAATGAATTTCCAGATGACGTGAAAATGGTGTTAGTTCCAACTTCAAGCGTAGCCATTCTCTGTTCAAATACAGCTAACAAATATTTTTTTTTTTTTATATATAAATAAAAGAAGGGTCAATAAGAAAAAAAGTAAAATAACGAATCTTTTTATCTGGAATTTATTTACATGATGTTGGATTTATTATCACTCCTTTTATTTAAAAAAAAAAAATTTATTAATTATTTTTGACTGATTTTTTTTTAAAAAAAAATCAAAAATCAAAATCAAGAATGTTTATAATGATATGTGGGCTGCATGCAGTTAAAGAGTTTCAAAATGTAATTTTCTTTTCTTTCTTTTCCGTCATTTTTTTGAATGAATGGTGATCATAAAAAATTCGACCAATTTTTTATGAGGACCATTGATTTTCATGCGTAAAAATTTAATTTTTATCAGTGTCTTGTGTGATCGAAAGTCAATATTTAAAACCCGAATAACAGCCGTGAAAAAAATATGGATCTGCTCAATTAGCCAAAAAAAAAATTTAAAACATTATATCAAAATTTATTATGCTTAATTTAATTTATAATACTGCTAATAAAATGTAATACCTTTAATCTAATATATTAAACCATCAAACTAATTAAAAAAAATTTATTATTATTTTAGTAAACTACACAATATTATTTATTAAAGATTTTTTTATGCACAATTATCATTTAAAGAACCATTATTTGGTTTAATAATATGCATTACTTTTTTTCTATAACTTTTTTTTAAAAAAATTCGGTTTCTCTTTTGTTTGTTTTTCATTTAGATTTAGTGATTATCTATATTGGAAAATCTTATTTTTTTTATAAATACTTCAGCCTCCTAAATCTATAACTTAGAAAATTTAATGAGGTGGTGGTCTGGCGGCGACAAGTCGCCGCACAACAACCAAATCTAGTTCTAACTAATTAAATCAAAACATCAATTTTCACCATTTAAAAATTTTAATATATTACGATTTCTTTCAAGATTATTGAGATTATTAATACAAGAACTAACAATAACTGTTTTTGGTTCATTACGAATCTGCTGGAATGAATTCATCAAAAGATCGCCAATTTCATTTAATCTATGTTCAAATAAACGAAGTATATCGTTTATAACGTTATTTGTTAATTTAAATCCAAGATCAGTAAACTTTTTTAACCGAGTAACAACTGTGTTCACGTCAGGGCATTCCCAATCATTTGGTGGAGTGGAAGGAAATAGGATTAAAAGAACTCCTCGTATTACAAGATCATTAACATCACTACAAATTTCATAATAACCAATATTTTTCCATATATTAATCAAATCAGGATGAATTATTATTGCTCTAGCTATAACATTAAGTTGTCTATTGTTCTCGTAACCATCTTTCGGTGGATATTCTTCCATTGTATTTTTATAAGTGAGTTTTAGACGAGGAGGAAAGGTGATAAATTTTTTGTTTAAAATTAATTCCTCGATATAATAAATATTTTGAAATAATCTTTGAGGGACGTAATCAATAACAAGAGGACCGGCTGATAAAAAAAGGATTAATTCCGTATTGTTGGCTTTAATTGCAAGTTCTGGAACTTTTGATATATTAAATGCTTTATTAATCAATTTGGTATAAATCGATAAAGACAAATTACTCGCCCCAGACGCACGTAATTTCTTTTCACGGGTTCTATCAAAATTAACTTGATTCATACTACATTCTACTTTAAGCTCTATTTTAAGCTCGATCAATTTTTGATCGTAATTACCAAAATAAGTAAGTAAGCGTTGTATAAAATATCTTGACATCACCACATTATTCCTTGCTAACAAAGCTTGGATATCTGAAGTAACGGAGCTATCCAGTCTTACTGCATGAAATAATGCGTGATCTACCACTGGTCTACCATATTTATAATTTAGCCATTCTGCAGGGTCTTGCTGATATAGGTGATCATTAGTACTTTCAAGATCGGCGACCTTTATATACACAAAGTGATCATCCATTTGACAATTAACGGAAAAAGATTTAGCAACGCCTTTTATGTTGAAATAGGTGCAGATCTGTCTGCTCTGGCTTGCCATAGTTTTATGTTGTAATCAGATTAGTTATTTCCGGATTTGTAAATTTAAATATAAAAAATTTTTTTTTCGGATTCGTCAAGGGTCAATTCCAAAATTAGTTTCTCCAAATTTTGAAATTACAAAATCTCTGAAATTTCCAATATGTTGACGCTGACGAAAATGACTAAATTTTCAAGTCTTACTGCATGAAATAAATACTTGTTATTCCATGGGTATCAATGAATAACTGAAATATTCACCGATGCCTTGGGGGCCCCCCCGAAGGGAGGGGAGCATCGGTGTATATGGAGTATTTATTAGATACCCATGGAATAACAGGTTTATCTCATTGTGTATGGCGTATACACCGATGGATTTTATACTTTTTTATACTTTTTTTATACCGGTGGAATAATTTACAAAAAAATCCATCGGTGTATACATAATACCGATGGGATAATGCGTGTGATCTACCATACAATCAACTCACTTTATAACGAATTTTTGACTGATATAACGAATTTTTTTAAAAAAATCTTGTTATACTGTACCTTATACCGTTTAACGAAGTAAAATCTACAAATAAGATGACTCTTCTTATACTGAATTTTTTTTAAGACAAATTTTTTTTTAACTATAACGAAGATATTTGTGCGACATGAAACCCTTTCACGTTGTAATAAATAACATATATACCAAAATATACCATATTTTCCAGAAATTTCCCATATTCTACCATATTTTTGTGAGCCATTTTCTTTAACAATAACATTTTGAATATCATACACTATTATTGTCTTTTTCTTGTTTATTTCTTAATTTGTTCTTTTACATTTAGCTAAAATATTTAATGATTTCGAAACAATTGAATTCTCTAATTCTTTTTTTGTTATATCTTATTGCAACTTGTAAGAAGACTTCATGTTTAACTTTTTTATCACTTTTTTTTTTCTTTAAAAAAAAAGAGATTTGGTCAATTGACCAACTATATGTAAAAAGACTTTGGGAGAAAGAATAATTTGCTTAAATATAAAAAGAATGAAAAAGAATAATTATTTATTTAATGTGTGAACCAAAATTTTTTGTCTTTTATTAGTATTTAATTATAAATAAATAAATACAATAAAAAACGAAATAATGGCAAAAAGTCTTTTTTATTTCTATAAACTGCCCGTTATTTGAAGTATTTACCAATAATAAATAAGTAAAAAAAAAATTCAACTTATAAAACTGAAAAATAAAATATTTAGGAAAAATTTTTTAAAAAAAATATTTTTGATTAAAACCAATTAAAATTATTTTTTTTTTTGGTTTGAAAAAAGAAAAAAATTTTGGTTTTTTTTTTAAAAAAAAAAAAAAATAAGGTAATTTTAACGCTGAAAATCACCTGGTCATATGATTTTTAAAATTTATACATGTAAAGTAAAACTGATTTTTTAATAAATTATAAATTAAAAATTTTCCTCTTTACTTTATTAAAGCATTATAAAATTTGATAGCTAAAATGTTGACCAAAATGGTGAAATTATATTCTTAGCAAGAAAAATTCGAAAATTAGTACCATTATGAAAAATATGGATATCTTTGCAAACATAATACCTACACTCATGAAAATTAAAATGTAAGTGTTTTCCACCTTGCTCTTATACACATCTAGATGTGTATAAGAGACAGGGTATGTATTTAAAATATTATCTGTTATGTATTAAAAAAAAATTTAATAGTGTAACAATATGTCCAACAATTAATTTTACTGTACTTATTACATGAGAAATTCTCCGATTGTATTAGGCACGTGCAAATC